TTTAAGGTAAAGTGACTGAAATGAAAAGAAAATGAATCAGTTTAAATTGGATTTTAAACATTGAATCATTTTTTGAGGATATTGAATAGACTACCTTATTCATTGGTTTTGGTATAATTTTTAAGGGATAATATTTATTAAAATTTAATTGACATTATGTGAAAAATTAATGGTACATGAGTGTGACAAGTGTAATTTACCCATAAAACTGTTAAAATTAGGTAACAAAAATAAAAAATAAAGCTTCAAAGATATGGGGAAAAAAAATGGAAAAAATATAATATTCGGTTTATTTTTTAATCAATTTCCAGAATGTTTCTGAAGAATTTTTATAAAGTGTTGGATTAATTACACTGTTCCTTTTAATTTTAATTTTAATAATTTGATTATTATATTTTAAGTCTAGTTTTAATTTGATCCTTTCGTCTAAATTGGAGGCTAAAATTAGGACAAATTACACTGGTAGTCTTTACGTTTTTCCTCTTGCATCATTTTGATATCTACATTTTCATTTACCTCAATTTTGATCTTTAATTTTAGATTTTGTGTCAATCTAGTTTAATTGATAACACCGTTAGTGTTTTTGATGAAAAATTACAACTAAATTGATTGAAGTTAATTCACCAAGTTAAATAAGCTTATAATTTTGTCTTAAAAAGTATGGCATATGTCACCTATCTGCATATTTTTCATTACAAAATGCTAGCAATTGTAAGTAATTGAACTAAATTGAGACAAAGTCATAAATTTAAGGTCAAAAGTGAGCCAGTTTAAAATATATAGACCAAAATGATACAAAGAGCAAAATACAAGGACTATCTGCGTAATTTTCCATAAAATTAATAATTTAGGGACACTTGCTAATTTTCTAAAGTTTCAATTTGCTAAATTGGATGTTAAAATTAACAATTTTGGAATGGTTGTCAATTTTTTAAGATGTACACGTAGACAAAAAATTTAGACGAAATGATTAAATTGAATTTAGACTTAAAGTATATGAGTTAAATTGTTCAAATTGAAATTTTATGAACTAAAGTAAAATTTAGATCAAATTACAGGTGTGAAAAGTATAATTAACCTAAAGTTTTCCACGAGAGCTTACAGAAAGATTCAAAAACATTTCCAAATACTATCATTTAAAGTTCCTTTGGAATTTCCCATCCCACCGGAACGTGTTTTCCTTTTGATGGTTCTTCCGGATGCTTTCATTATTAATAATTTCCATTTTATATATTTTCAGATTTTTTTAAAATCATTTTTATTTTATTTAAGGAAACTTCTTGTGATTATGTAAGTTGTTTTCCGGTCAAGTACTTGCAATTTTCCACACATTCAACTAAAATTTGTATTCTTCTAATAAAGTTGGTGTTGAGGTTACCAGTCACAATTTTCAGTTTCACCTTCCTCAATGAACCAAATGAGTCCCACCACCACCTCATTTGTGCAGTTAATTTTCAACTTTCTAGATCTTAAAAATTGATTAAAATATGGTTTTTCTTGCCCATTTTCAATTTCTAGATCCCAAAAATTGATTAAAAATATGGTTTAAACATCATGTTCGGTAAATTTAATTTCCACCATATGGTGATGGGCAAATGAGGAGAAAAACTGAAGCAATTCCGTGGATGGACACTACAATGTGTAAAAACCCAAGTAAAGATGGTTGATTTTCATTGCATTGCTTAGTGAATTCACACCCCACAAACAAAGAAACAAACACAAAAACACATAGAAATACACATGCATTTACGAAGAAATGAGAATACACGATATCCTCCTCTATAAATATCAGCAACATTTGAACTTCTCAAGCAAGCGAGCAACACAGAGTCATTTGAGAGACAGAGACAGAGAGATGGAAAATAACGGAGCGAACAAAGGCAAAGGCAAGGGCAATGGAGGAGAGAGTGGAGAAATGAGCAAGTCAAGGTTCCAACCCAAGAAGGGCAGTGTGTTTCCCAAGAACAATGAGTCAGTGAAGGGGATGATGTTTGATGCTGCTCTTAACAAAATCAAGAACAAGAACAAGAACAAGACCTACCCTCAAGAATGATTGATCATGATATTCACTTCCTTATACTATTTCCGTGTTCTATGTTTGTATTCTTAGGTTTATCGATACTATTTTTATAGTACTGTGTCTAATGATTTGTGGGTCAGTGAAGAGTCAGTGAAAGTTATGATTTTTATAGGATATCTTATATTTTCATTGGTTAATAAAGAAGTTTTTTTTGTTTTTGATGTTAGTTTATATTTGTGGAGGAACTAGAAAGGTTGAGGTATATTGTTTAAGTCAGTGATAGTTTTGAATGCATATGTATTTTGTTTCTTAGGTATATGTGTCATGGTCATATAGGATTCTTATATTATCTTTTTATCATTAATAGAACTTTTTTTTTGTCTTGTGCCTTTCTTTGGTAATTGACCCTATCTTTTAATTTTTATAAGGTTTATTGGTGAATTAAAAGTTCTTCGGAGAGAGTTTGGATTTCAATTGGTTTGATAATAATACGGACACACCATCACTTCTCATCCTATTTTTTCAAATGTTTTATTATTACATACCAACTCAATTTGTAAGAAAATTTTGTTTGTTTTTTTTTTGTTTTTTTGTATAGCATTTTTTTAGGACAAAACTTTGATTGTTACGGTGAATGTGGTTTGTTATACATGGATCATTTTCTCCACCTAGCTTCATGTATTGCCATGATTTTTAACCAGACTTCAACTTAATCTCATCAAATTATAATCGTGTGAATGTGTAACTCTCAATTTGTTAAGATTTAAACATAATTTGGAAGTCTTGTACTTTGGAACATATAAGAATTTTTGGAAGATAATCCTGAAAATTTCTCCTAGCGTAGATCCTTGTAGAAAATGACAGAAAAATCATTATATTTTTTTTTGATCAGCAAAGAATAATTTTATTGATAAAGGATAGAAGAGGGGACTTGACTGAAATGCATCATAGCTCAAAAATACATCCCAACTAGGTTGGCACCTATAAATGAGCCCAATCCTATGCAAGCCAAGGCCGATACAAAGGTTGATGAGAACTCAACCAAAACAGGGAATGAAAAATAAAAGAACAGAGGACTATATCCGACAGGAGACTACAATTTGTGGCCCTTCAATCCCACCAAGCAGAACATGAAATCATGGATTGTGTAGGAAGGCAAATGAGTAGAAAACTTCACCCATGTGGCCACTTTGATCTAGATACCACAAAAAGTGGTATCTATCTGAGGGAGTATGAATGGCAAAAATAATCATTAACTATTTTTTTAAATAAAAAAGAATATCATTAACTTGAATGCTTTTTTGAGATATAAGGCCTCGTTTGGGAATAGGCTAATTTAGTAATTTTTTGGCTATTTGGCTAAAAAGGTAAGTAAAAAAAACTTGTATGTTTGGTATGAATTTTTACTTAATTACGAAAAGATGTGCAAATAGTAGAGAGAAAAGAGAATCTTTGACTTTTTGGTATGAGTTGTTGGTTTTTTGGCTAATTTAGTAATTTTTTGACTAATTAACTAAAAAGGTAAGTCCCCAAACGGGGCCTAAATGTTTAAAATAATTCAATCATACGGATTAATATATATTTCCCCACCGACATATGAGCCGGTCTGAAAGAGACGTCCCCTTATCAAATATGATGTTTGAAGTATAATTTTATCGTTGCAAGTACAGCTTTTCTTTTTCACTCCCATCTTGTAAATTATTCAAAATTCTAATAATAATAATAAAATCTCATAATGCATTGTTATTGCTGTTTAACTCAACAATAAAAAGGGCTTAAATATAATAATGGTGATGAATTACCTATAAAGTTTTACTTAAAGATAGATATCAAGCACTTTAAAAGGTGGAAAATTTCGGCTCAGTAAAGGTGGTGAAGAATTCGATTTAGTGTAGATAATAATGGTGAATAATGACCTATAAAGTTTCAATTTTATTAAAGGGCTTCTCTGCATTGGGCCATACTATTGGGCCTGTAAGACCCACTACGGGTCTCGTTTCGATGATCCGAACAATTCAATGTGTAAAACTCGTTGAGTACTTCATCTTTGTAAAAAATCATGTTGATCACAACACATTTTTGTCAATAATAAATATGAATTTTAAAAATAAAATGTTAACAAAAATTTGTTATAATCAAGGGACTATCGATATCCGAACAATATAATTTTTTGCAGAGATGAAATACTCGACAAGTTCTACACATTAATAGTTCGGATCATCGAAATAGAACCTATGATGGCTCCCACGGACCCAACGGTATAATTCAGTTCACAAAATAGAATGGAGAAAAGCACATTCCTTATTAAGGAATGAATATGTTAAAGTTTCAATTTTATTAAGGTATGAATATTTTAAAATGAAATGGTGTATTCATATTGAATAATTTAAAATCAACATTTATATGAAATATTTTAGTTTAATTTTATTAACATATGTAAGGGAGTATTCAAATTAAAATTATTTTATTAACATAATTTAAGGGATCTTTCACAAATCTGATGGCAGCTTCCATAATGAATTTGGTGCATATATTATATAATTCTATAAATCTATAAATCTGATGGTTGATATTCTATAAATCTAATGGCAACTTCCCTAACGAATTTGGTATATTATTGTTATAATATGTATATAATTTGGAGTATTTAAACTATTACAGAATGACAAGTATACTATAGAAATTTAAAAGTTCAGAAAAATGAGAAAAAAATGGATGGCACTTCAAGCCTCAAAGCAGGGCGGAATATTTTTTCTTATATTACATAATAATATCTATCAATCTATCTATATCTATATCTATATATATTATATAAGGAAAATAGTATTTTTAATGAGGAGCTTTGTGAGAATTTCAATATCTCATACTAATTTTCTTGATTTTCGCCATGAACAAAGTTCCCATGATATAGGAATTCAAACAATCAAAATGAAAAAGCACTCTTCCAGAATTAGAGAAGGGTAAACATATATAAAGAGATGAAAAAGAAGAAGAAAAAGAAGTTACCCTCCATATCCAGCCTTCATGTCCATCACGTTTCGTAGGTGTAAGTCTTTCCAATTGTAGGCATTAACATAACCATTTACAAGATCGTTCCAATATTTTGACTCTGCTCTGAATATTTCCTTTCGGGAATTGTAGGCATCCATTTTTATGGTAAGTAGCCTGTCTGGTGGATAATGAAGGCGTGTGGGCCAGATAGAAACTTTAGCCCCATAACCATTCTCAGGTAACGGAGTGATATATGCCTTCAGACTGACATACCTGCAAGAATGCATCAATGTATTTAGATTTTTGTGTCGAAATTGAAAAGATTTTGTTCGTCACTAATTAAAAGATGAACTAAATTCATGGGTAAGAAATTATTGACTTGAGGATATGGGGTAACAACTTGGACGTAGGGTTTAAATAATCTGTTACAACCTTGGAGCAATTCTAAGAATACCAGCAACAGGGAAGTAAATAATTCATATGGGATTGTGCCTTTAAATAGATATTTGATCTCTCTTTCCGTGTGTTATTAGTGAATGAATGAAGATGCTTTAGGCTTTTAGCTGAAGAGGAAACATTCAGATTACTTAAACAAACACATACACTCTCTCTTCCCAATGTTAGTGAGGTATGATGGATAAGAAAGGAGAGGTCTTGTGTTGGTACTAAAATATTGAATTTGGCCTGTTGACAGAGGTGCTGACATGGCTCAGATGAATTAATGGGTGATCTGAAGTAAGGAACGTGCAAGGTGGACAAGTCCTTTGAAGTAGAGTAGTGTTTCAAGGGTGCAGCCAGAAGCATGTGGTCACAGAAGTGGAGAGCAGTTACAGCAAGTGAAGGATCTTTCCAAATGGTGGAGAGAGCATGCTTGCGTGTATCAAGGAATTAAGGAGGGACATGTGGCTGCAGCAGTCGTGGCCAGTGCAAAGGAACAAAAGCTGGGAATTCAAAGTAAAGGATCTTCAAACCCATTCACAAACCTGTGAAAACTAAGAGTAGCAATTATCTAGGAGTAGCTTCTTTTAACTAGGAGTACCAATTAGCTTTTAGTCAATCAGTTATCTTTGTATTCTTGTTATTTGTTCTTGTTTGACAGCTTGTAACAAGTGACAATTTCAGTAATACACTATCAGTTTTAGTTTGATTCAATCAATCGACATGCTCCAAAGAAGTCCTTAAATCTATTAAGACATAGAACTCAACCACATTGCTTGATCGTTTTTCTGTTTTTGTGGAATTTGGTTTTCCCTGTCGAATAATGTGTCAATTTACCCCAAACCAGAATTTTACTAACATCTTGATATGTGAATGTGTGAAAAATTCAAACCATACATCCGTCATTCCCTGAAGTGCATGCTGTCAGCATATTTTGTTCACAAATCCAATTAATTCTATCTGAACTAGAAATACAGTTTTTGAAGAATATAGTTCCTTGAAAACTCTGGGATTAAACAGGTTCCAAACGTAATTTATCATGCTAAATTCTCAAATAGCCAGTTGACTGATTTTGTAGAGCCATTAAATAAATAAAGTTTGTCTTTCTGACAGTTCTGTGCTATATTCAGGTCCAAGTCAAGTCAGAGACATTACTAACAGACATCCAAAAGTAATGGCACTTGGCTATTTGACCATACCCCAATTTTCTGCTACCGTAACCAAAATGAAATCTCATTGCCCTTAGAAAAATCAATCTCTTTTCTTTATGTATCAACATCTCGGGGTCAAACACTGATGAGTACATTTGATCATTCATGTGATCGATATGAATTTGATATGCATGCTTGATACAAAAATGTTGGTCTATATATAAGAATGCTCAAACAAATTATAAAGACAGTTTCCATGTAATGTTGAAACTCAATGGGGGTAAAGTTGGACATACCAAACATTGTCTGGATCGTCATTGGCTTCACATATAGGAGGTTGTAATTGAGGATGCCGATTAACATAGCAGTTGTTGCCCAGAGGCTTCCTCCATATAGCAATGCACCCTTCCCTCTTTATAAGTTCCCAACAAATACGCCAAGAAAGGTTCTCCATTTCTGTGCACAATTAAGGTCAGGAATCAGCAATGAAGAGATATGATACAAGGAAAGAGAAGAAGATGCAATGTCATACCATCATGCTAGAAACCAGAAAAACGAAAATATCACAAAAATGAGTAAAACACATATACACACAGCTCTATATAACTTCAGAATTACACAATATTCACAATAATAATAAAAAAACTAATAACCTTTTAACTGTATTTTAGAAGAAGTTCCACCCACCGTGAGCAAGGTAGAATTCAATAGTTCCTGACCAATGTACTTTAGTAATTTTGACATGATTCCTTTTCTAGGTTTTAGTTTTTTTACACGTTAGTTTGGACATGATGCTTACCTTCCCATTGTTCTTGCGAGTTATCTTCATGCTCATAGACAGATTGTGCTGCCCAAACAAAGTGTCCCCCTGCCCTCAGCATCCTGTTGACCTCAAGAAGCAAAATTCCATCTTCACAACAACCAAACAAAAAAAGGACAATTAACATCAATAAGGCAGGAACAGCATCCACCAAATATAAGACATGTTCATTCCTTCAACAATTACTCCCAACGTCCCAAAATATTAGTCCCTTATGAAAAATTAAGGACTAAAATGACATAAATTTTCTATTTTGCTCTTCTATTAAATTCGTTAATATTAATATACACAAGAAGTACAATTGACAATTGATGTTTCCCAAAAAAAAAAGAGGCTAGTTTTGGAAAGTTAATATTTTTGAAGTATAATAATTGTACTACCAAAAAAAGTTAGATTTCCAGAAAGGACTAATATTTTGGAACAGAGGGAGGAGATAAAAAAGAAGAAGAAAAGACAGTTCTGATGCACCTTAATAAAAAATGAAAATGAAGTAGGTATTGGATACATGAATTGACCACATAATAATGATGAGAAGGCACAGGGGAAAAAATGCGCCTATCATTAATAATTATTTCATCTTAATACTGAAAGATTAAATTGCAAAGGTATACCATCACGAGCCCAGTTAATATTGCAACTAGAACAATGTATCAAGTCAAATGCCTGGCTAGGATACAACAGACGGTGTGTTGCAAATACAGCCACCATGGCAGGCACACCTCGCTCGAGAGCAAATTGAATCTGGTTCTCATGAACATCTTTTGGTGCTATTGAAAGAGTGGTCACATTACGACTGAGTAAGTAGGCACCAAAACTTGCTACTCCACAACCAACATCCAAGGCAACTCGGGTGTTTTGCCCAAATGCAATGCCAGGGACCATCTGCATGCTCAAATCGTAAAATGAGGGTTAATTTCATCTACATAAAATATAAAACACAGTAGAAATGAAGAAGTAGCCAACATTGGAAATCTGATCCAAGTACTGATCTGCCCCATGGATAAACTGTGTTCCACCTCCTGGAAATATAAATTTATCGTTTTTTCTTGATATCCAATTTTGGCCTCCTTTATCTTCAACCAGGCGCATATGGGGTACATTGTTGAACCACACCTGTAATAAAATCTCAAAGTAAGTAGAGAAGTTTTCCTTTGAATTAAGTAAACAGTCACATACTTGCAAGCAAATTCAAAAAATTAAAAAGAAAAAAGAAAAGGAAAGAATTCACTCGATGCAATTCTTAAGCATTATTAATTTAACTTTATAGTAATATCACAACTTATATATAGAGGATACTAATAGGAACCACAAAAGAGCACTAAAAGGATTTTCTAAAGTCAAATAGATAATGGATACAAAGCTTTAGAGAAACAGAAACAAAAATGTCAACATTAATATGCAGGAGAAGAAAGGGAAAGCCTTGTCGTGGAAAGAGATTGAAGAATATTGTTAAAGTTAGCATTTTGAAATATATTGTTTTCTATCAAATCTTTTTTTTTTTCCTTTTTTTTTTTTTAATCCCATTTTCTTTGGGTCATCTTTGATAATTAACTTAACCTACATCTCTTGTAGAATAGTGAATAACCTAAATCCAGTACTCTCAATCCCAACATTATTTCAACTTTTTCATTCAACTCATTGTGCCTATTAGCTGTCGTTCACATACATGTACATCAAAAAAGCATAATAGTACTAAAAAATAAATAACTTGTTGCGCAGTTAATGCATTTCTGATTTTATGACTAGAAATTTTTTCTTGATTTCCATTTCAAATTGTTCTCTGAACATAGTATATAATACTTGTGAGCCGTGATTCAGGCAATCCAACTTTATGTGTGTAAGGCGGAAGGCCCCAAAAATGGGTGTATCGAATCACTATCCTCTTCCTGTTCTATTGATCAGAAGCATGCAGCAGGGCCACGCCAGTTTAGAATTCAATTCTAAGGGCTAAGGCTCCCCATATCCCCCTACCTTTTCTTTTCCCCCCAGCCATGTGTGGGCCACACTTCAGAAAGGCCCTACAGGAGTGCTTCACTTACTTGTGTGAGCTCCCCACCCGCTCATGCTCCTTACCAACAACCCAGCGCTTGGCCAAAGAAACACACCAGAGATTCTGTTAGCTCTAATGGAACTAAACTTCCATTCTATAGTATGGAATATTGAGCATACCAATACGAGGTTGTAAGTAGAGATGGATTGTTTATTGACCTTACCTAACCTATGACACTATTTGCACAAACTCACTTTTAGTACCCCTAGTGAAATCAACTTCATATCATTTGATTACAAACAACACATAATTTATAACATTCAAATACAAGTAACAATTTACATAGTCAATTCCATAATTAGTAACCCAAACATGCAAAATCCAATGAATCAATTGAGAACAAATTAAAGTCAAGCCCAAGAAGAAGAAATTCAAGAAACCAAATCAAATATTCAGTTGCTTTTTTTTTTTTACCTCATCTCTGCTTTTTGGCCATGGAATGTGAAGCGTATACCCTTTAGGCCTCGGCACCAAACAATTCAAGCCCTTCCCCTTCTGAGGACAATGCCGCTCGTACTTGTCACCTCTCTCCGTGGAATTGAAGCTCGAAATCGCCTTCACATTGTCCAAACAGGGTATATACTCTGTCATACTCTCATCACAAACCATAAACTTCCCAAACCTAACCCTCCATTTCCTCCTCCGATTGGTGGCACCATTATTGACCACACTCTCGATTACACTCGGATCGAACTCTCCCACCACAAAATCGTCCGTCATGAGGCCGTTCTCGTCCACAATCCCAGTCCTCTGCACCGCCTGGGGCGGCGGCAGAGGTGCAAAAGCGTCGGGCGGCAGCGCATTTGAAATGGGAATGGCGGTGGCGGTGGCGGCGGTGGTGGGGGAGGAGAAGGAGGGGAGTTGTAGTTGTGGGTCGAAGTGGGAGAAGAGGAGGAAGAGGAGGAGGGAGAGAGAGAGGAAAGAGAGAATGATGATTTTGAGGAAGGTGGAGGATGTGATGTGGTGGTGGTCTGGTGATTGGAAGGTTTTAGCAGCTTTCATGGTGATTTTTTTGCTTTGTACACTCTTCTTCAGTGTTCAATCTTTTACCTGTTCCATATATCTATAGGTGGGAGATAGATATAGAGAGAGAAAGATACATATGTAGAGAGAGAGAGAGAGAGAGAGAGGATCGTGAAGTCAACGATGGAGCTGGTTAGTTTAATAGCAGGACGAGGAGGAGGGGGCGGAGGAGGAGCTAGTTGTAGTAGAGTCTACGTATGATATGAAATTCGGATACCCACCGTTTTTTATGCAAAATGTTGTTGACCGTCGATAATTATAATTATAATTATATTTATATTTATATTAAAATGTATAATATTTATAATAAAAATTATACTATATAAAAAATTTGGCCAAAGGTCCACCTAAGAGTAATTTTAAAATGTGTTTTGTAAATGTGATTTAAGAGTATAAATTATATTTTAAATTTGTGAATTGTAAAATTATGATTTGAGTGTAGAAAATTCGTTTGATTATGATTTTTAAATAGAGTGTTGAATTGTGTTTTGAAGATGTATTTTGAATTAAGTTTTGAAAGTTTGATGTGATATATGAAAGGTGAAAATTTGTTTGGTGATGTGTTTTGAAAATAATTTTTAAAACTTAATTCAACCAATAATTTATCATCAAACATACAACTCATATATCGATATCCATATTTTTTATCAACAATAATAACCAAACTATTTTTAAATTATTGAAATTAAAATTTTATTTTTTTTGTCAATTAATTTTTTATTTTGTAATTTTTTTGAATAATTGTTTTTTCGAAATAATTTCTTCATTTTAAAATAAACCTATGTCAATTATTTTCTGCCAATTAATTTTTCTATCAATTCATTTGTAAAATACGTTTTTAATTTATTTCTAACATTTTGTTAAGTCAACAACTTTTGAAAATATATATTAATAAAGAAGGAATAAATACACTAAATTTAATATTTTAAAATACAAATCATAGCATAAATCTTACAAAACATTATCAATTTTTTTCCTATTTATTACATGTTATGAATTTCGTCCATATGTGGCAACAGAAATGCAATGCATTATTGTTCCCGTTGAGCTCATATAATTGTGGGATTGACATACAAAATGACTATTATGCCCCTCTTGACTTAAATAGAAAATGATTACATAGAACAAAATATAAAGGGTAAGATAGTAATTTCACTTACTTATTATTACCTACCCCCTATTGTTTCATAGCTGTGTGTTCAACACTGAGGTAAAGAAAAAGGAGAGGCTGCAGCTGTGTACTCAGTACAGAGATGTGATATATATATAAAAAGTAATAATATTAAAATCAAATAATATTTAACAAATAAAAAGTAAATAAAAAAAAATTCCAAACTGAACTTTTTGAACCTCACCATTTCTATTAAATCTGAATCTCATTCCGTTTACCACACCAACTTCACCATCTCAGAAACACCTTCTCCAATTACATCAGAAAACAAAAATTAGAGAAATAGAAGCATATCCACCATCTCATTAGGTCCTCCTTCTCCACTTCCATAATTTACAAGTTAGTTTTGATACCAGTTCATCTTCATATTAGCTTCAGATATTAGCTTCAGACATTAGTGAGGGAGGGAAGAGGAGGACAACCGGCCGGTCATCCCACAGGTCTACCGGCCGGTCATCCCACCGGACATCCGGCCGGTCATCCCAGCCCAGTCACCATTCCACCTCCGTATCTGTTCGCTTTGTTTCATATCTGTTCCATTTTCATCTGTTATATTTTCTGATTTCTGTTCTAATTTTGTCACACTATCATTTATTTTTCTGATTATCAGCTTCTAAGTTATAATAACTGAATGAAACAAACCCAATATAAATGAGAAATATCATTCCCTATGGTTTTTTATTTTTTTTATAAAAATCTGTTTCTATGGCATCTACCTAATTAAATTTTGTCACCAAATTTTTCTATATTTATTTTTTACATAAAAATAAGTTTGTATGCACAAAAATGTACTAATGGTGGATATATTTTTCATACATATTTTTTACCTCTCATATGTTGTAATATACAATTTTCTTTCACTTTTGCAGTCATCATGCCAAGAACAATCATGCCAAGAATAAAACGAACCAGGCCCGAACTTGGTGAATCCTCAAACCCTTTACCACCACCACAACAACAACATGATGGCCATTCAACTAATGATTTTGCAACATATCATTATGAACAAGCCTATGAACATTTCATTACTCGACGAATTATTACGGGGAGAAACGTAAAACTACCTTCTAAATATGATTCACTCTTACTTGGCAAATTAGATACAATGGGATGATTACCATTAAATAATTTGCCAAATAAGATATATCCCCGTCTTCTACGATTATTTTATGTTCACTTGACACTGGGTGACCAACAAAATGACCGTTCAGTCTTACCTCTTATGTTAAGGGGAAAAGAATCACACTCTCTCTCCGTCGTTTTGCACAAATTATTGGAGTCGAAACAGGAAATTTATAATGTTATTTTCAAAATGAGGCCGCATTAGAAAAAATTGTTGATGATGTCACTCAGATTTATACCACAATTTGTGACAACCGATTTAGTGGCACTAATTTACAAGTCAGCCATTTAAAACTTCACCTTCGTATTCTCCATCGATGGATAGTTGAAAATATCACTCCCAAAAAAGGACATTATAATAGTGTTTCATGTTTTCAAGTTTACTTATTATATTGTTTTGAAATTGGACAAAAATTAGATTTATGCTTTATATTACTAAAAGAAATGATGCTTGCAAAATTGGATACTCTGAGTGGCCGGTCACTACCTTTTGGACCTTTGTTAACCATAATTTTCAAAGCCCACGATGTGAACCTTGAAGGTGAAAGATGGATTAGAATCACTTCACCAATTTCTGAGTATACACTGACCCGAGCTGGTGGTGCTGATACCTTGATGGGCTCTATTAATCTTAAAAATCAACCAATACCTGATGAAGAAGAACCCAATGACAATGCCATGCCACTAAATGAACAACCCCATTACTGAACTGATTATTTAGCCTTGGAACAAGAACGGTATAATCAGCGCCTACAATGGGAACAACAAATGGCTAATCAGCTCAATACATTGGATACTTGGTTCGATGAATTTGGTACTCGATTCGATGAAATTGCCACCGCTCAGAACTCACTAATTCATCAATTTGGTGAGTTTCGTGTAAACTCAGAGAGACGCGCTGAACTGACAAAGGAACCGCATTGATCTAATTGACCATCGAGCCACTCAGCTATACCATCAACATTTCCCTCCACCTCCAACACCACCGGACAAGGATGCTTAACTTGTTTAAAAATCAAGTAAAATGGTTCACAGATATGGTGGTTATATTTTTTTCTCTTTTTTTGTTTTGGTTATTTATTTGGTGAGTTTTGTTGTGATTGTTTTACTTTTGTTATTTTGTTATAAAGTTTTCTATTCACGTAATGAATAAGAACGACGGATTTTTTTGGAATCATTTAATTACATAGTTATAATATTATAACAATCTATGCAAAAAGATTATGCATTGAAAAAATTATTTGATCAAAAATTAATAAATAGTAATTCATAAATGTCTACGAAATCCTTCATTTGAATAAAATGAATAAAAATTACACAATTATTAAATAATTTTTCTGCATCAATTATAATATAAAATTAAATTAATGTTCTGAAATTAAATAAAACAAGTTACAATTTAATAATATTTAATAATAAACATTCTTTTTTTAATGAAAAGGAAAAAAAAAAGTTATAATAAACTTCTGTACAGAAAATTAAAAAGAATACCCCAGCGTTTACACAAATTATACACCCTTACTTTAAGATGTATCCAGCGAATTTTTACACATTCTTCATATAAAATAATATTTTGCTATAAAATCGGGTGATATAAAACAATAAAATATAATTTACTTTTCACCACCCATCACCACCCACCACCCACCTACCACCACCACCCACCACCTACCTACCACCACCACTCATCACCCACCTACCACCACCACCCACCACCCACCTGCCACCACCACCCATCACCACCCACCACCCATCTGCCACCCACCACCACCAACCACCCACCACCACCCACCCACCTGCCACCACCACATTTAATTTAATGACAACATATTTATTTATGAAAGTTACTAATAAACACATTGCATATTAATAACAACATATTAAATTGTCTTTACTAGACTATACATAAAATTGCATATTACACATTGCATGAACAACATATTTAAGTACACACTGATATGCGAAAACCATTATCTTCATTGCCCATGCGATGATGTTTGTGTTTTATTTCGTTTCATTGCCATTTAGCTCAATCGTTGTCCTCAGTATTAGTTATCCTACAAGAAGATAAAAGAAGTCAGTAAATCACAGAAACAGATAAGGAAATGCGAAGTTATGTAGTAACGGTGTCATAATGACTGAAATAATTTACCAAATAATTACACATTCACAACCAGTAGTTAGTACGACATTCACTTGCCTTGTTCATATCCCTTTTCTATGCATGGTGAACATGATTTTGCCACATAGCAGTAGCAATTGCATCCCTAACGTTCGATTGGGACGTTAACCCATGTTGTGACATGTCAACGTAGTCAGCTTGATCTCCAACAAGCCCGTCTGCTTCTGCTTCTGCTTCTGCGGCCATTTCATTATCAGCTTCCATAAAGAATGGATCCATAGCTGCATGTAAACGGATCCAATTGTGCACTACACAACATGCAATCACGATAGACCCTTGTCGTGTAGACTTGTAATTTGGCATGGACCGCAATATTGGGAAGCGCTTCTTCAAAACACCAAATGTTCTTTCTATGACATTGCGTAATGACGAATGTTGATGGTTAAACAATTCCTTAGGTCCTACATAACGATGGCCATGAAACTCTTGCAAGTGACACCGTTGAGACCGAAATGGGGCAAGAAATCCAGGCATGTTCGTGAAACCAGCATCAACTAAATAGTACTTGCCTACATGTAAATAATGAATACACAGTTCTGTCAATTGATATGTACAAAAACAGACAAGGAAAAAAGTGAACTGTATGTTATTCAGGGACAGTCACCATTGGGTGGGTGTGGGAACTGTAGACCAACTCGTGTAATAGAGTCAAGCAGAATAGCGTTGTCGTGAGCGCTACCTTCCCATCCAGAATTAATAAATGTGAACAACATATCGAAGTCGCAAGCTGCGAGTACATTTTGCGATACCGTTGCTTTCCGACCGCGGAATGTATTTTGTCTTGAAGTAGGGACCCATGCATCCACCAATGTGCCATCGATAGCACCGACACAATCCTAATTGACAGTTATTTGTTTGATATTAAAAGCGAAACAAACTTCGATATTACTTTCATAATAAAAAATAATAATATTTATTAACACTTATTGATATGAACAAACTTACAGGACAGTCATACTGTTCGTACCTTGAACCAGGAAAAAAACCTCCTGTTATTTAAAATTTTTCCCGGTATGTCCTCTAGGTTACGTGGTTTGATAACCGATGATGAAAGCTTGCACAATGCCCGCATAACAATTTTTATGTGACGAAAAATTGTTTCCGTGGAGTGTTGAAATCTATCTGCCATTATTCAATGGCGATCATTTTGTGCAAAAGTGTATAAAAAAATTCCAAGCGATTCCTCCACACTGATATGCATATGTTCAGTATCGATAAAGCCATTATAGAGTAAAGTGTCTTTCAATAAAATGAATGTTTGTGCATCCATTCGCATAACGTTCATCATTGTTTCTGAATGGCCATTTAATAGGCCGAAGATGTAATCATCACCTTTGAATAGACATGTTCGCTGCGGTCGACAACTACTTGACGCGTTGATATGGTCATGCATTAAAGTAATCATCAAAAAATCCATAAAATCATCAACAACCTCATCCTCATCTGATGAGAGCTCCATTGTATTGTTTTCTCTATCGGATGACATATGCCTTTGTCTACATCACAGTAAAAGCATAATTATAAAATATGTTATTCATGCTGTAATAGTTACCATTATTGGTGAAACAGTAAAATTCAGAGGAGAACAAAATTTATTTAACATATGGTCATATTATAATAACAGAACATAGTTTTAATATAACAGAAAACACTTAAAAGTTCAAAAAAAAAAAAAAACATACGAACATAGAAAAGGAAAGAGGATATGATGGAATTTAAAAAAAAAAAAAAACCAAATAAGGAATAATGAAATCATCAAACAATTCAGCGAAGAAGATTTGCTAACACAAGCAACACAAAACTTCTCAGTTCACTGCAAAGCGAGGATCATGGCTAGACGCAAATGGGTAGGAGTGCGCATAAAAAACCTTCGCCATTCCTTATCCTTGAACAGTGTCAGTGCCCTAATGTACTGCAACGGTGGTAAGTCCCCAAGCTCAAGCAATGCATCTTGACATGCATCAAGGGAATAATCATCACCACCTGCACTTACAGCCTCAGTCTCATTTTCTCGTGTACGTGAATGTCCTATTTTGACTTGTACATAGGATGTGAAAGCTGCGCACACATTATCAAACCCACTTGATCGTGACTTTTTGGAACGACCACTGTCAGTCTGGCTGGTTGCAGGGCCCCTCTTGTGACCTTTGCCCTTTGCTGGATCCATATACTCATCCCCGAATAAGTCAACAGGAATGGCCTCAGCAACATTACTCCCACCAGCGTTACTTTGCTGGATCTATATACTCATCCCCGAATAAGTCAACAGGAATGGCCTCAGCAGCATTACTCCCACCAGCGTTACTTCCACCAGCATCAGCGTTCCAAAATTTATTTAACATGTCATCTTCTTCTTTTGAGTCAAGGGGTCCTTGTGTGGATGCATGAGACAGGGCCCCTGTGGCACAACAATTTTCAACAATTTCTGTCATTTCTTGAAAATATTCAAACCCTTTTGTCCTAAACTTCTTCACATTTCTGCTAGCCTACAACAATTACAAAACAAGAATTCAGCACCGTATATATCATGAAATGTTTAGAATAAAATTAGAAAATAGTACAGATTAATGGAAAACCTTATCCTAAAATTCGTCGGGTGCAACAACAGTGCCTATAATAGGATCCCATCCCAGACCAGTCTGTGCTTACAGTCGCTTAAATGTCTGGTAATCAGCTTTCAATCGCTGATATTTTTGGCGCACCTTGATACCTGTATACCGAAATCCATATATGTTGTGCAACTGATTTGCATAATGATTCCAATGCCTAATTGTCCACGAAGTAGTACGGCCCGTTGTTTGATTGTTTCTAACCTCATCTCTCAACATATTTATTAATTTCGTTTCAATTCTGGGCGTTCACATTTTGGTGTTCTCATTGTCATCGGGATGGATATACAAGCATAATAGAGTATTTTAAAGTAGTCTGCGATGGATATACAACAATAACAGTGTCAAAATGGTTTGAAGGAGAACACAGATAAAGGAAAAAGAACAGATGATTTTATTTCGAGGAAAAAAATACGTAGCAGATTAATTGAATTTAAATAGCAGAAATATAACCACAAATAAAAAAAAAAATCAATTAACATTGTGTTTATATAGGAGGAAACAAATCAGTAACATATAACCACAAATAATAATAAAAAAATCAGTTAACATTGTGTTTAAATAGGAGGAAACAAATCAGTAAAAGAAAAATTAAGGAAAAAAAATTAGTAAAAAAGCCCGGTAGGTTCAAACAGACCGGTAGGTTTTAACAAAGAAATAGAAAACCGGAAGACAAAACCGGAAGAGGTGGGAGGACCGGGTGGTTGACCGGCCGGATGACCCGGGGGATGACCGGCCGGGTGTCCCAGGCACTGCACAGTTCAAACCATTAACTGATTGATGAACGGTTCAAACAGTTCAAACCATTAACGAAGAAATGGAAAACCAGAAAACAAGGTGGGAGGACTGTGTGGTTGACCGACCGGGTGTCCCAGGCACTGCCGCTTCAAGTTCAAAGGTTCAAACAGTTCATAATTTGAAAGAACAACCGATCTGAAATGGAAAATACGCCTCTACAAATTCTCATAAACCATTTAGGAACTGATTTCAACTTCTCTGAAATCATTTATACATAACAGATGAAGATTGATTTACTGACTATTCTTGAAGAACAAAAAAGTTGAAACAATTCAAGATGAAGAATGAAATCGTTTATCGACTCGTCCGAAATCATTTTCAGATAACAGATAAAATCATTTTCAGATAACAGATTAAAGATGAAGGATTTATTTACCAGATCAGTGGGAGTTGAATAGTTATCACCGGTGACGGAATGTGTCTACTGATTGAATGTGCCACTGTTTGCTCGTCGGATTCGACAATAAATTTGATAAATTTGACCTGAAAAAAATTAAAAATAAATTAAGATGAATTTCTCAAATAATTTCCCTATAACAAAATATGTAAAAAAATTTGTGAGTAATTTCACCTCGCAATCGTCGTTGTTTGGTTGCCCGTAATAAGAATCGTCCACAACGCACAAATCGTAACTCAGTCGATTTGTGAAATATGATACCAGTACAGAGCAGGTTTGGTGGATTCATTATTTATAAAATGAGTCTGAAACCCACCCGTGATGAATTTGAAGTACGGATGTTTGATACAGAGAAGCCACCCATGATGAATCTGAAGTATTGATGTAGATGAGCTTCACGTGAAAAGTTGCAGAGACGATGAAGAAGGCAGAAACGTTGAAAGGGAGATACAAGCTGCCAAACAGATTTTCAAAATGTAATTTGAATTAACACACGGAATCAATTTTTGAACGTTGTATCCAAACGTCATGCGCGAGCTCACGTGTTGAAAATTGATTTGAATTAACAACCAAAGAGAGCCTTTTTCATATAGTTTCAATAATTATGGAAACTTTTTTTACTTTTGTTGACAATATTAAAATTCTCCCAATCCATTAATTTAGCACAAATACTGTTATATTTTTATCCAAAATGATCATATTGCCCTTTTGAATTAATAAGCTATTTAAATGAAAAGTTTCACTCACCTCTCATGAGATTTTGCATATATATCATTAAAGATTCATACATATTTTAATTTAACACCCTAAGGTCATGTTTGATTCACAAGACTAATAGTGAAGTATTAGTAATCCTATTAAATTAGTGTGGTATTCACTAGCCAATTGGATTAATATCCATTGGATTAATAATCCCACTACTACCCCCATCACTAATAATCTTACAAATTTGTTGGATTAATAATCCTAAACCAAAATGTTAAAACAAACATAAGATAATTGGGCCCACAGATTAATAATCTCAATCCCATGCTCTAATCCACCGAATCAAACATGCCATTAGTTTAATATAATACCCTAATAACTAATACAATACTTATAAAACTTATTTTACACTACAAACAATGAAATATTTATCAATTTTAATTAATGTATTAAATTTAAAAAAATTTTCCTTTTTTTTAAGGTGAAAGAAATGGAATTTTTGTTTCCCAGTAATTTGTTCTATTTATTTATTCATCTGTGAGAAAATTATTTATCCCTAAATTGTTAAGATATTATTAACAAATTTCAATTTTTATCTTTGAGTCGTTAAATTTCTAATCAATACATATTTTTAGAAAATGCAAATTACTCTTACATGATTAAAAAAATAAAAAAAAAATATAGAGGTAAAAAAAAAATCTAATTAGTTAATAAGAAATAAAAAATCAAAAAATCATTTGAGAATAATAAACAATTCAAATAATTTCTCATTTCTTACACCTAAAAATAAAATTAACCTTTACATGAATGGAAAAATTATTTTAAAATACTAAAATACTCAATTAATTTATTGTATGATACTAGGCTTCGTTTGAGAAGTGGGTTGGCTTTTTGAGTTTTTTGACTATTTTAGTCTGGGGTTAAAAAGTCTGGTTTAGGAATGGCTTTTGGCTTTTTTGAATTTTTTGTGAGAAAAAGAATGTAATGATTATGGGTTGGATGTGATGTTCTGTCTTATTTGGCTAAAAAACCTATTTTGTTTTTTGTGACTATTTTAGCAAAAAAAGCTCCAAACCTCTCTTCCCAAACGGAATATTTCTCCATCTTTATTTTTCTCATTTAAACTATTATTATTAAATTCAATCTTAAAATTAATTTCTCACCTTTATTAATAGTTAAATTTTTACTTTATTTTTTAATTTCTCACCTTTATTTTGTTCTATTATTATTTATAGCAAAGTGTTATTATTTAATTTATCTAATTTTACTTCTTTCGTATAGCTAATACTCATATAATTTTATTGACAAGACTAAGAAATCAGATTCTAATACTAATTTAAACATACAATGAAATAAAACACTTTCTAAAGAAAAAAAAATTAATTGACCCTATGATTAAGAAAGATAAAATAATAGTTTTTTTTACGTATGAATACATAAGTAATGCAAATTGTTGGGAAAACAAATAAATCTATTTATTTTAACTTTTAAAAAAATTCAAATAATAAATGCATTACTTAAAATAATAAATTTTAGGTTATTTATGTGATGTGAAATAAGTCTTATATTAAATTATAATCATTTGTTCTAAGATTGTTAAAATTAAAATTAATTTCTCACCTTTATTAATAGTTAAATTTTTACTTTATTTTTTAATTTCTCACCTTTATTTTGTTCTATTATTTATAGCAAAGTGTTATTATTTAATTTATCTAATTTTACTTCTTTCGTATATCTAATACTCATATAATTTTATTGATAAGACTGAGAAATCAGACTCTAATACTAAATTAAACATACAATGAAATAAAACACTTTCTAAAGGAAAAAAAATTTAATTGACCCTATTAAATGTATATGAAATTATTATTTATTTTTCATAATTTTTTTAAAATGTAAATATAATTTCTTGACTTTATTTTTTTCCACAAGTTTTTGAACTTTCATAAATAAAAAATAAAATAAAAATTCAACCATTAATGAAGATGCGAAATAAATTTTAAGATTTAATTTAATAAAAATAGTTTAAATGAGATAAATAAAGATGGAGAAATAGATTTTAAGTATCATACATTACAAATTAATTGAGTATCTCAAATAATTTCTCCATTCAAGTAAAGATTAATTTTAATTTTAGGTGTAAGAAATGATAAATTGTTTGAATTGTTTATTATTCTCAAATGATTTCTTAATCTTTCATTCTCTATTAAATAATTTTAATTGATTGTGAGGCGATTAGAAATTTAATGACTCAAACATAAAAAATTAAAATTTGAGAATAATATATGATTAAGAAAGATAAAATAATAATTTTTTTACATATGAATACATAAGTAATGCAAATTGTTGGGAAAAAAATAAATCTATTTATTTAACTTTTAAAAAAATTCAAATAATAAATGTATTACTTAAAATAATAAATTTTAGGTTATTTATGTGGTGTAAAATAAGTCTTATATTAAATTATTATGATATTATCTAACATTAATTTTAGAGAGATTATTTATTTTTAAATATTTTATCAATAAAAATTAAGTTTTTTTTTCATTAAATGATTTAATAATGTCTTAACAATTTAAAGATTTTATTTAATAATGCATAAAATTTAAGAATTTTATTACATAATGATAAAGTATGTATGGATCTTTGATAATATAT